TGTGTCGCCTGCTCTCACCCGTCTCTTTCTCTGTCTGATGTCGGGTCAGATGTGTCTCCCGCTCTCACCCGTCTCTCTGTCTGTCTGATGTCGGGTCAGATGTGTCGCCCGCTCTCACCCGTCTCTCTGTCTGTCTGATGTCGGGTCAGATGTGTCGCCCGCTCTCACCCGTCTCTCTGTCTGTCTGATGTCGGGTCAGATGTGTCGCCCGCTCTCACCCGTCTCTCTGTCTGTCTGATGTCGGGTCAGATGTGTCGCCCGCTCTCACCCATCTCTCTGTCTGTCTGATGTCGGGTCAGCTGTGTCGCCCGCTCTCACCCATCTCTCTATCTGATGTCGGGTCAGATGTGTCGCCCGCCCTCACCCATCTCTCTGTCTGTCTGATGTTGGGTCAGATGTGTTGCCCGCTCTCACCCATCTCTTTCTCTATCTGATGTCGGATCAGATGTGTCTCCCGCTCTCACCCATCTCTCTGTCTGTCTGATGTTGGGTCAGATGTGTCGCCCGCTCTCACCCATCTCTCTGTCTGTCTGATGTTGGGTCAGATGTGTCGCCCGCTCTCACCCATCTCTCTGTCTGTCTGATGTCGGGTCAGATGTGTCGCCCGCTCTCACCCATCTCTTTTTCTATCTGATGTCGGGTCAGATGTGTCTCCCGCTCTCACCCATCTCTCTGTCTGTCTGATGTCGGGTCAGATGTGTCGCCCGCTCTCACCCATCTCTCTGTCTGTCTGATGTTGGGTCAGATGTGTCGCCCGCTCTCACCTGTCTCTCTCTCTGTCTGATGTCGGGTCAGATGTGTCTCCCACTCTCACCCGTCTCTCCGTCTGTCTGATGTCGGGTCAGATGTGTCGCCCACTCTCACCCGTCTCTCTGTCTGTCTGATGTCGGGTCAGATGTGTCGCCCGCTCTCACCCATCTCTCTGTCTGATATCGGGTCAGATGTGTCGCCCGCTCTCACCCATCTCTCTGTTTGTCTGATGTCGGGTCAGATACAAGGCTCGAAATTGCTACCATTTTGGTCGCATATGCTTCCGAAATTTAATCTGTGTGACCTCAAAATATATTTGGGAGCATTTGTGCGAGTGTATATAATTGTTATCGTGAGACCTGTTTTAATTTCTCTAAAAACGTTCAGATTATGTGCCTTCTGATTGCTGATACGGTGACCTGTCTGCCGTTCTATGAAACGTTAGGCTACATAACCAATTAAACTTCATCTTTATATTCTTAACTTTAATGCAGATTTTAGATTGGTTAATATTAGCTGTCAATCACCCAGTCACTGCTTTCCGCTGTCAGGTGACAGGGAGCTACCGTGGGGAATGAAAAAGGCTGAAGAAGAGAGAAAATTAAAAAAAGAAACACTGACAGATTTCTTTTGTGAACCACCTAAAGTTACAAATAATGGTGCTGGTGATAGCGATCATGTGGTGAATGTTGATCCACCAGCCGAATAGAAGGCGTACAGTTTTCGGAGAGAGTGGTTGAAAGACTTCTAGTGGCTCCGCTATGAAAATGGTTCTATGCACTGCGTTCACTGTAAAGCCTTTGGGACGGAGTTTGCAGGTAACAGCGTTCGAAAATCTACATATTTCGTAATTGTTGTTTTACGATTTGCGGTTTGACATTTACTTGATTAGCTTGTTCAGGTGTGTTTGATTAGGGTTAGAGCTAAACTCTGCAGGACAGCGGCACCCCGACGTTGCCTATCCCTGATATAGTTAATCAGTATCACAAGAAGATTGCTGTTTCCTCCAAAAATCAGCCTGCTTACAAATGTGATATTGATTTTATACAACTGTTCAATAAAAAAGAAGTTAATATTAAGAGATTTACGTTTTAGACACTCTATTGGCTGTTCAATACAAAATCTGCATTGAAGTTAAGAATGTAAGGATAAAATCTGTTAATATATAATTTGTAGTTGTGATGCTCCTAAATTTTTGAAGTTGGGAGCACCAGTGCTACCAAGTAAAAAAGTTAATTTCGAGCCCTGAGATGTGTCGCCCGCTCTCACCCGTCTCTCTGTCTGTCTGTCTGATATTGGGTCAGATGTGTCACCTGCTCTCACCTGTCTCTCTCTCTGTCTGTCTCACCCGCTCTCACCCGTCGGTCTCTCTGTCTGTCTGTCTGTCTGATATTGGGTCAGATGTGTCGCCCACTCTCACCCGTCTCTCTCTGTCTGTCTGATGTTGTGTCAAATGTGTCACCCGCTCTCACCCGTCTCTCTCTCTGTCTGTCTGATGTCGGGTCGGATGTGTCACCCGCTCTCACCCGTCGGTCAGATGTGTCGCCCGCTCTCTCTGTCTCTCTGTCTGTCTGATGTCGGGTCAGATGTGTCGCCTGCTCTCACCCGTCTCTCTCTATGTCTGTCTGATGTCGGGTCAGATGTGTCGCCCGCTCTCTCTGTCTGTCTGTCTGTCTGATGTCGGGTCAGATGTGTCACCCGCTTTCTCTGTCTGTCTCTGTCTGTCTGATGTCGGGTCAGATGTGTCGCCTGCTCTCTCTGTCTGTCTCTCCGTCTCTCTCTCTGTCTGTCTGATGTTGGGTCAGATGTGGGGTCAGATGTGTCGCCCGCTCTCACCCGTCTCTCTGTCTGTCTGCAGCTGAACGACGGTCAGTTCACGCCCATCCAGCTGGTGGGGATGCTGCGTGGGATTGCGTCTGGTATGAAGTACTTGTCGGAGATGAGTTATGTTCACCGGGATCTGGCGGCGCGTAACATCCTGGTCAACAGTAACCTGGTGTGTAAGGTGTCTGACTTTGGCCTGTCCAGATTCCTGACGGAGAACTCGTCTGACCCCACATACACCAGCTCACTGGTGAGGATCTGCTGCTGTCACACACACGCACAGTCCAACCAACATTTCATTATTTTTTTGTGATTAAAATGACTGATTTTGTTATGGTAATTTCCAGAGTTTTGCTGACAATTTGCAGCGTTTTTTATAATTATAATAAAACTTTTTTTTTTTTTTTGTGATGAAGATGACTGATTTTGTGTCATAAATAGGGATGTAACAATTCACTCAACTCACGATTCGATTCGATTCACGATTGTTTTTTAACAAAATGAGATTTAAGACAAATTATAAATTAAATGTGTCCTTTTATTATTGCTTGGACAAAATGCGGCACGTTTCTTTGTGAAATTGAAATATAACACTATAATATACTAATATAGCACTTACATATTATTGCTCTTTTGTTGGTTTTGATTGCTTCTATTGTCCTCATTTGTAAGTCGCTTTGGACAAAAGCGTCTGCTAAATGACAAAATTT